AGGAAAAAAATCTCCATAACAAAATTTTGTGAACTTCAGCACAGTACTTAACTTTTGGGGCCTCAGTTTCTTCATCTTTTATAAAAGCATAATAAAACTTTAATACTTCTATCTAGCAGATTATTGCTGATTGTATTAGAGCTCATATATAATATTCAGGAAGATAACTTTGGCTTTATTCATTAAACAAATATTTATGAGCACCTAATACATGCGCTAAGCACTGTCTTTAGCAAACAGGCAAAGGGCTAGGAATATAAAAGGCTCTGAAAAAGTATCATGTGTTCCCTTATTTATGTCTTTAATAAATATCAACTTGAATACCTAGTCTCTGTGCAAAGCAATGGAAAAAAATGAAAGCCAAACAGCTATAGTCTCTGCTCTCAGTTTAAAATCTAGTGGGGGAGATTAACAAGTTAGTAAATTAATATTTAAAGTGCTACGGCTGAAATAAACAGGAGCTCTGATAAATATTAAAAACGGGATCCACTTACAGAGGAGAAAACATTTAAGACAAATCCTAAAAGATAAAAATTAAGCAGCCATGCAAAAAGCTAGGAAAATTTTAGAAATATACACAAAACACCTCAAGAGAAAAAATGTTTGACTTAAAAGAAATTTCCAGTTTTTAAACCATTTCAATCATAGCCCTTTTATTTCTATATTATCAGACTGCAACAACAAAAAAAATTAAGTTTCACTATTTTATATACAGACCCACCTTGACTTACATGGGGTTACATCCCAATAACCCAACAGAAGTTGAAAATATCATTAGGTTGAAAATGCATTTAATAGGTTAGGACCTATTGAATACTTTATCTTTGCCTAGTCTACCTTAAGTGTGTTCGGAACACTTATATTAGCCTACAGTAGGGCAAAATTATCTAATACAAAACCTATTTTATAATAAATAAGGTGTCGAGTATCTCATGTAACTTACTGAATACTGTAATGAAAGTGAAAAACAGAATGACTATATGGATACCGAATGATTTTAAGTATACAGGTTGTTTATCCTTATGACTGCATGGCTGACTGGGACATGGGGCAACCTGCTGCTGACCAGCACCGAGAAGACCAAAATTCAAAGTACCATTTCTACTGGGACACCTGGCTGGCTTAGTCGGAGCATATGACTCCTGATCTTGGGGTGGTGAGTTCAAGCCCTACGTGGGGTGTAGGGATTACTTAAAACAAGTATGGTTTCTACTGAATGCATTTCAATTTCATGCCTTTGTAAAGTTGAAAAATCCTAAATCGAACCACTGTCAAGTCAGCGACTGTCTATACTTGCCAATAAAAGCAGAGAACTAAGTAAGCACAGGACAAATACTAAGACTACTTAATAGCAGATGCTGGCTGGACCAAACAATGCATGAAAACGAGTGAAATCAAACCTAGATGGTGATGAAAACCAGATCAGAAAACCTGGACTTTATTTTGGAGGTAATACAATATACCACTGAAAGTTCTGAGCATGGAAGATATGATGAAAGCTGTACTTTAAGTAAATTTTAATGTTATGTAAAAAATATTAAAGCAAAGAAATAAATTACTGAGTCAATGTTTAGGTAAAGAAATTCTAATTATAGTAGCAGCTGAAATAGAAAGCAATACTGGAGATATGTTGCATCTAGACAGGGAAGGAAATTAAATGTGTGAAACAGACTGTTTCTGAGGCTGAAAGTACAACAGGAAGGGAAGAGGACTAGTGATTGTGATGAGACACTGAGTTCAAGAAATTTCATGTAAATTTTTACATATATTTTTATATATCCCAATTACCTATATTCCTTTTTATATCATACATGAGCATTCTATCTTTTCAAGTGGTTTTAAATCACCAAGCAACTTAAGTATAATTACAAGAGGATACAGCATGCACTAACACTCCTACTCTGTATTTAGATAAACAATAGAGGTTAAAGGCATCTTTGCTTTGGAAATCAGAGCCAGCAAATGACCTTCATACTGAAGACAGTCAAAAGGATTCATCAAAAACTGGATGGGAGAAATAAGTGAAGGGGATTAAGAGTACACTTGTTGGGATGAGCACTGAGTAATGTATGGAATTGTCGAATCACTATATTGTATATCTGAAACTAATGTAACACTGTATGTTAATTATACTACAATTAAAAAAAAAATCTTTTAGAAAAGAATCACCAGGTCAAGTAATTTACCATCTACTTAGGGAGGCGGGAGTAACTTACATGTAACAATTTGAGAATTAAATAGAATACTAACCATCAGTATTTTAAGAGATGGAAAAGATTAACACAAACTTGTGAAACTAAATACTTCAAGAAAAAAGGCTTTCCTAAGTAGTTAACTGATTTTAACTTTTGTTCAGAAAACGTCAGATGAGTAACACAGTTGGCACTGTGCAGCAGGGGCTTCTTTCAATTCTTAAATTCATTAATTCAAATGTAACTAATTTCATACTTGAAATTTAGGGTGTCTAAAAACTGAGGATGAAAACTGCTAACCAAAGAACCCTCAGTAAATGACTCACTATGAAGGGCTATACTGGCCAGTACTAGGAACAGAAATTAGGAGGTACCAAATTCTAGGCCAGTGATTCTATTAACACTTCATGTCTAACACATTTCTGAAGTTTATGGTTTAATACTTTGAAGTACATTCTATCTCACAGTAAATAATACTCCATTTTAATATTAATGTTTTACTGAAGGACTACTGGAAAAGGTTCAAACTAGAAAAAAATAAAGCTAAAAAGATTTAGTGCACTCTAATACAGTTCTGAAATATTTTCCTTCCAACTCTAAATGAAGTGGTCTGTCAAAATATCTTATATTCTGCATTGATACGATCAATATGGCACAGCCAGGGTCACACAGCTATTTAAAATTTCAATTAAGTGTTCTTTTTTCCTGACCCATACGAAAAGATATAACCATACCCTAAAAAAAAGGGCCTAAAGTAGTTCTCACCCTAAGACATCTAAACTAGGAAACTGAAACTTAACAGGAAATTTAGGTAAATAACCTATTGATGTATTATTTTATCTTGTGCTTGATTCAGTCACTTAAATTGTAGATGCTCCATAAATATATGCCAAATAAACTTGAAGAGAACCCAGATGCAGAAAGTCTTATTTCCCAACACTTGCAGTGGTGCTATCTGCATTCAAACTTGAGTATGTACAAACGTTATAAATAGGGTGGGAGTGAGGGGAGTGAGAAGGAATGGTGTGAGATCACGTATACAAGGCCTTCAGAGGAAATGATCCTATGTTTAAAATCCTTCAAAAAAATGAGCAGTATACAATCATTACTAAATAAACATCTCAGGATAAAGTTTTTGTAAAGATCTACAGTTTTTTGTTTTTTGTTTTTTTAAGATTTTACTTATTTGAGAAGCAAGGGGGTTCGCCACAGGGGCAGAGGGAGAGGGAGAAAACAGGCTCCCTGCTGAGCAGGCAGACCAATGGGCTCATTTCCAGGACCCTGGGATCATGACCTGAGGAGAAGGCAGATGCTTAACCAACTGAGCCACCCAGGCGCCCTGAGAATTTTTTTGAATACTTTTTCTTTTCAGACTTTTCCCTCAGACTTTCTCTAAGGCATGTTATTGTTCATTAAATTTATCTTGCCAAAATAAAATGAATTTGGAATATTTTTGTTCCACTTAACAGTATTTCAGGTTTTGTCTTAGTATCTGATGTCTTTTGAAAAACAAAATCCACAAATTAACAACTGTCATAAACGAACAGATTTCCTATTCTTTCATTCAGAAGGAAGATTTAGTCCTCTAGCTTAGGGACTCCAGCAAGGGCACAAAATTTTCTAAAAATAATTTTAATATCGAAGAGTAGTTTGGAGGAAATATAACTATTATGGCAGGATTTTAACATGAAGTATAAGGATCCTTATAGGAGTCACATATGTGCCTTAGGAAGTCCATAAGAGCTCACTGAAATAATGCACAAATTGTAATACTATATACAAACACATTTTCTGGGGACAGAACACAGCTCTCATTTTTCAAAAAATCCATGACCACTCCCCACAGCCCAAATTAAGAACCATGAAGAAAAAGGCATCTAAGTTTGTGAATACGGATACTAATAAAAACATTAGAGTATGGTTTTTGTTCATGTTTATCATCTACTTAGCCATAAGAGCCATTTTGTTAAAACACAAAATTGCTGATTTTTTAAATTAAGCCACTATTCTTTAAGCCCTTTTTTCTGGTGCTATTACAATTTCTTACAGGCACTGGGTAACTAGCTTCCTTTAGCTTAAGGAAACACAGGAACGAAGTTTTCCTGTGTTGGCCATTTGCAAGCTGATTTTATAAAACAGAGATGGCTTTTTTCTATTATTTGGTATTTTAGTTAAGACTCATGAAACTTGTTTTTGGCATTCTAGATACTAATAAAACATCCCAATGTAACTATTACTTTAAGATATTTTTATTTTAACAAGAACAGATACTTCATGTATGCCCTATTATTAGGCTATCACAAATCAGTCTACAGTAAATAAAGCCCAGTTGCCCCCCTGGTTTGACCATTCAATCACTATGAATTATGTGTAGTGCTGTATTCTTTACTACTTTACTCCAACAACTTTAAAATACCAGTTGAGGGTGAAATGAAGCAAAAGAGACCTAAAGCTGGGGTCTCTGCCATTCCCTAACATATACAAAACAAAGGGAGGGTAGCAAAAGAGTTATCTGCAGTGTGCTTCTGGACCTTCTCAAAGACCTGACCAAGCTTTAAGCTTCGTGAATAAATCTCAATTCCTCCAGGTGTTCTTTCTCTGAACAAAAAAATATACACTTCCCCTAAAATGGTTAGAGCATTCCAGTTTATCCCATTCTGACCCTTGGGCTTTTTAAATTTAGTAAATTTTAAAAGGTTAAATTTGTTAGCTTGGAGCCTAAAAGTTTCTGTGTATCCATGTATGAAATTCAAACAGATGAAATGATCAAAAAACCCCATCACTAATAAGAACCAAAGACAAAATCCAGATGCAGAAAAGTCTTTTATACAGTATGTAAACTTCTTTTACTCATACCTTAACCCATTTAGTTAAACATTAGGTCCTACTATGTGGCCCAGCTGTAGGGATTCACAGTAAATAAAACATAGTTCCAATTCTTGAGAGAGTCTATCAGGAAGATTTCAAACTTCTAACGCTGATTAAAAGAACATGCAAACATTGCAGCCTTACTTGAGCATTACACAAATTCAAAAAGCCAATACTGAAGGTAGCCAGAGGCAATTTCTGCCCACCCTGAGCATCTGTAGTAATATTTCTGCAGTACTCGTCATCAATACCACAAAAGAAACAGATGGGAATAGTTTTTAATTTTATTCTTTACTCAGGATATTTATTGAGTACATGTTATAATGATACTCTATACTTAAAGGAGAAAATGATAACTTGCTTTAAATCTAAACAATATACTATTCTTATAGCAGACAGTAGGAATTTCCCTCCTTTATTAAGTTTTTATTTTAAGATGTATCAATTTGTACTCCTCCTAAAAGGCTGGCATTAAAATACAAAAAAGATGAGTTTTTTCCTCTTGCTTCCAAAATTCTTGTTACCCTAGATGATCACGAGAAGAGTTAAAGGTAAAAAATTAACATGTACAACACATCATCACAACTCCCAGCTGAATTTTTTCCACATGGCACTTTTGTAAATTAAAATTACTAACGAAATCAAAGATCAGCAAGTAGTTGTGAAGTGATGAAGACTTTAAACCCCAAAGCAGCTATGTAATTAATCTGGCAACTTAACTTTGTAATTCAAACCTAGTAGAGTAATTTAGAGGTAAAAAAATCCTAATAATTTTAATTTATGATGTGGGAGTATATCTATATATGTATATAGATATGACCACATTATAAATTTGTGTGTGTTTTTGGGTTTTGTTTTGTTTTTTTTGGTCACCTCTTCCAAGATCAATCAAGAGGAAAACAGTAATTCATTTAAGTTAGAACTGGGCACACCTTTTAAAAAATTTCAACAGTATGTTTCCTTTAGATGGCATTACAATAAATGTTCTATATAACTGTTAGCTGAAGCCTTAGATAAGAATAAGGTCTGTTGTGAGAACAGCATTTATCATTGCCCAAGAGTTCAGAAAATGTTGCAGATTTTAAGATATTTAGCTTGGACTACTATAGACAACTGAAAGATGTTCCTCATTTTAAAAAGGCAAAGTAAATTTACGTTATTTGACTTTTTGCGTGAGAATGTCACTCAAGTTTTCTAAAATGGTAACTCTGAGTTTACATTAAACCTTTCCGACATGAAAAGTACAGATATGAGCAGAATATTCACTAAGTAAAATGAAAATATTACCTGGTTTCTAAGGCACACCGTTAGTTATACCATCTAAAGTGGGATTTATTTGATGAACTGCATTAGCTCTCAGAACATTTGCTGCAAGTCATGTAGAAAGAGGCAAGTATTCACATAATACGTTAGTCTATTGTCAAGAAAGACACTTCAACTAAAATATGTCAATCCTCACATCTGAAATCACTTAGACATTACTGATGTGATATCTGGAAGAGTTCCTGTATAGAAGGTTTTTTAGACTGACAAACATGTTCAGTGCTTTAGAGGGCTGGGTGAACTCAGTTCTCTTTTGTTCAACAATGCCTCATCTCCACTGCATAAAGCTTGGTCTCCAGTTCCACTATCCAATGCCTGCCTTACATTAAGTTGTACTTAGTTGGTACTGCATAAAGTAACAGTGTTATAAAAGGCCTCTAGATCACAAGGTTCAAATGTAATAGCTGGTTTCATTAATGTTCCAGGAGCAAGAGAACCCTCTCCAATAATTCTCAGGTTGATAAATTTGATTTTCCACGTATTTTCTACAAAAGGGCAGCGTATGAGTCCAAAAATTTGTTCAAAAATGCCCAAACAAGTATTCCCTCGGTGGACAGTCCCAGCAACTCCAACCATAACCAGACCATGCGGAGAAGAAGCACATTTCAGTCCACGGGAATCTAGGTTGGGACTGAGAAAAAGATACTCTTCTTTCACTAGTGACAGCAGACGAAGGCTCACAATTTCTGCTCCATAATAGTCTATCACATTTTGTTCAGAGGTGTTGTAATAAAACCTAAGCTTGACATCGTGCCAGAAGTGCTGTGGCCCCCATTCATCTTGAGGTGGTCCCAGAAAAGGATTCTGAGAATTAAGAAGTTCAAAGAACCAGTGACAAAATTCTTCTCCTAATCGACGAAAATCAACTTTTTCAGTTTTATCTTCTTTTTCCTGCTAAGATAAATAAAATATAAAATATAACCAAGGTCAGTTCTCACATCTTTTTTTCTACCTCGTCTGTTTTAGAGCTAAGTTTTCATATGCTGAGTATAACAGAAGCTAAATAAACTACAAGTGAACTCACTGAACCCATCACGCACACACTGTTCTTCCAAAAAGGGGAAAAATCATTTTAGAATTTCCCACCTTAAACATCTGAAAATTCAGCTGAGATTAAGGTTTAACAAAGCCTCTCAAAATATCAGCATGAACAGTCAACAATGATTTACGTAAGTATTTTCTCTTGATTGTGTCAGTGGTTTCACAATGTCTGTCCAAGCAGCATGTATGCTTTAAATGGATACACTTCTTTGCATATAAACTACACTAAAGTTGGTAACAAATAAGAATTTTTTACTATCTTTAAACAGAGTTCTAATACGACTACGACTGAAAATACATTACTTTTTATGATTGGGATTATTTTTGTACTGTTATTTCTTTTTTACAAAGGGTAATATTATTGCAAAAATATACCTGACAAGCTTGATTTTACTCATCTATGTGAATAGATGAGAATATTCCAGAGCACAGTACCTCATTTTGATGGTAAGAATCTTTTATTGACAGAGCACCCATGATTGAGTATGTCTGGCTTTGTGCTTGGGACTTACGGACTATTTCCTTCTATCTTCAAAAGCCTATTTACACAGATACTATCATTATTGTGCCTGCTTTATAGATAAAGTAAACAGGGCTCAGGAAAGTCAAGTTACTCGCTCAAGTTCACACCTAGCACAGGGCAGGACCTATCTGAAGTCACATCTGTATGATTTCAGAGTCAACATTCTCTTTAGCATATTAGGAAAGCTCTTAGAAGATCCTTTCCTAACGTGAAAGCAAATGCCTCTTACTGTAAAACCTCACAAATTCAAAGTATGTAGTTTAAAATTTGCAAATTCATGGAAGGGGCTTCTGGAGTGGGTGGCAAATTTCTATTTCCTGACCAGCATGGTCATTACAAATGTTTTTGCTTCATGGACATTTATTAAGCTATTTATCTGATTTGAAAAGGGGGTGGTCTTTCTGTGCTTTGTTTAAAAAATAAATAAATAAATAAATAAAATTTGCAAATTACCTAGAGTTCATACAGTCAATATTTAAATATTCACAGAATACCTAAAATGTCCAGTGGATACAAAGAAATAGGAACAGACAACGTCAGCTGGAGGAAATTATTACAAGAGGATTTTTCCTAGCTTAAAAAAAAAAAATCAAATGTAAAAATTACTTAAGTTTCTCTCATAGAATTTTTACAATTTAATACCTTTAGATTAATTAATTATGTGTGTGTGTGGATTGGATTTATAGAGTGTTCCAATTTGTGTGTGTGTGTTCCACATACATACAAATTAATACCAAATTAATACCTTAATACTGGTCTTCCTTTAGAATGCAAAGGATATGATGTGAAGCTAAATTATAAAAGCCAAAATATTAGCCCTGTTCCCACAGATCTAGGATTATCTAAAGAGTTTAGACAGAACTATGATTTAGGGTATAAATATAAGATCTATTTTACCTGTTGAAATAGTCTCATGTCCTCTGTCTTAACTGGCTCTGGTGTTTCCTTCAATTTCAGATGTAACTGCTTTTTCCAGTAATCCTTTGCATGCTGAATAAGATTGTGCTTTTCAGTAGCTGGAGGTATAATAACCCCCTGTGTTGCCAAGTACTTGAATATGACTTCTCGGTGGACTTTCTTACGCTTCAAAAGTTCTTCTGCACTTTGACTGTACAATAATATTGCACGAATGGCATCTAGAAGGAAATTATAAAGATTAGTAGAAAATCACAAGTCACTTGTAAATCTGTCCAGGGTCAGCAGAAACCCTATCAAATAATATTTATAAATTCTTGTCATGGCATTACTCTTTTTGCATGAGATGGTAATTTTTAAAAACCAGAAAGTGGGTTGTCAGATTTTGGTTTTAAAAATTTTTTTCTTTATGCTTTAAACTTCCCTACATAAACTTACTTACCTCTTCCTTTCACTTCTCATAAGATAGTAAAAGTTTTGCATTTTTTTAAAAAAATGACATGTTTTGAGAAAAAAATTTGAGCCAGAGAAAAAAATTTTTTTCTAAGAAGGCCAATGGACCTAAATTCATTTATAATCCCTAACATAGGTAAAATTACAGTTATTTTAGATGTGCAAGGACGTTTAAACTCCTTACTCTATAGACAATGAAAGTTGAGAATATATGAGGTATCAATAATCATGCTTCTAAGAAGTGGCAGAATACTTGTATTCTTTTTTTAATTTAAAAAAAGGTGTTATATTAAATAACAGATCAAAGATTATTTTTTACATGCATAAAGAATACATAATAGCAAAAAAATGAACTCCCATGTATATACAACATACTTAAGACATAAGATATTACTAGTATCTTTGAGGCCCTCATTTTAACCCTCCCTACTTAATACTATTCCCTCTCTCTACTCACCCACCTTAGAGATAGCTGCTATCCTAAATGTTGTTTATCAATACCTTGCTTTTCTTTATAGTTGTACAGCATAACTATGAACTCCTAAACAATACAGTTTGGTATTTTTGGAACACTCTATAAATCCAATCCACACACACACACACACACACACACAGTCTTTCATATTCAGCTTTTCACTTAATATTGTTTCTGACATTAATCTGTGGATACATGTAGCTCTAATTTTTCGACTGTTAATTCATTTAACTGTACCACAGTAAATTATATGACTACATCACAAGGTTATCTATTCTGTTCATAGATTTTTACTGGGTGTGTCCAATTACAAACACCATCACTTTTAACATTTTCATAAATGTCTCCCAGTGCACAGAGGGGCAAGCAGCATGAGGGTCATCTGGGAGCTGAAGAAATGCTGAATTTCTGGGCTCACTCCAAAACTACTGAATCAGAATCTGCATTTTTCACAAGAATCCTGAGGGACTGATTCACAGGCACATTCAAGCTTGAGAAGCTCAGGTCCAGAATATAAACCCGGAAGTAAGCAAATAATTCCACTTAGAGATGATGTCAAACTTGTTTTCCAAAGTTCTAATTTACACTCCTCCAATTGTCAAAGACCTAAACGATCACCACGTTTAGTTTTTTGCCAATCCGGTAGACAGGAAAACACTGTGTTTCGGTTTTCATTTCATTGCTTTTTAAAGAGATTATCTTTTCATATGCTTACTATTTTCTTCCTCTCTGAGAAATGCCTTCTCCTAATCATTTAACATTTCTGTACTGGGAAGTTTCTTTTTATTTGCTTTTAGACCCACCAACAATTAAATCCAACATTTTTATCTATTACAATTTTAAACTCACACTCACAAGGACTGTTAGGTGGTGATTAGCACGTGAAATATATAAATGCTTAAGAACTATATTAAGTCTAAAACTATCTGCATTCGAAATTCTTAGGAATTTCTTCTCTTAAGTTTGAGGAAACATTAAGTTTGAAGTTTCAAATGAATGATTTTCTTAAATGGCAAAAACGTACATCCAATTTAAAAGCAGAGAAATACAGATTATGCTTTTGTAGTTATTTAAGTCATACTAACGTAGAAGTTTGGAGTTTTCACATTTTAAAGTAAGACTGTCCCGATGATATGCCAAGTGAAATACACACACAAGCTTCTTGATTACATTTTTATATGGAGTAGCTAACAATCAATATTGATTGAATATTCATAACCCTTTAAAAGTACTCTACAGAAATGTTTATTTGGCTCTGAAAACAACGTATTCCTACTACACAAAACCATCTCAGAAAAAAAATTAGATCCCAAAAGAGACATGGATTCAAACTATCTGCTCTTTTATTACAGCAGTTTTAACTACGAGGCTGAAAGTGTTTATATCCTCCCAGAGGAGTCAGTCAGCAGCTGACTCCTCAGATCCGCCGAAACTGAAAATGAAAAACACCCTGGAAATTCTGAAATCACTATTCACGTACTCTAAATTCTCGAAAAAATAAGCATTTGCCCACACATCCAGCAGATAAAACCTGGAAGCAGAGCCGTCTGCAGTGCCACCACCTCTCCCGGGGATCTGGCGCTTCAGGGCCGCCTGAAGGCGCACGGCGGCTCCCAGGCCGGGAGGCGGCGGCGGCGGCAGAGTTCCGCCCCAGCACCGTCGGGCCCCGATGCGGGGCGAGGTCTCGCACCTCCTCTACTCCCACGTTCTGGCCACCTGGGGCCCGAGGGGGCGTCCGCCCTTGGGGAGAAAAGTCAACACTTACCTTGGCGGTCCTCAGGCCGCACCAGGCGGTTGGTGATGGTGTCGCACAGGGCCATGATATCATCGTTGTCTAGTAAGCCGAGGAGGTTACGACAGCCCTCCATCTCTGGAAAGCTGAGCCCCGACATCTCGACCCCCAAAGGAGGGGGGGAAGAGGACTACCCAGTGACGCCGTCCCCGCAGGCCCACCAGGCCGGCGCCTAGGCAACATACACCGGAAGTGCCTTTCCTGTTGTTCTCAGCCAAAGGGCCTCCGGTATTCCAAACCCCTGGGCGGAAGTGATTGCCAACAAGGTCAATCAGGAAATGTGGTGCTCCGACTTGTCGTTCCGGGGTGGACAGGACGGAGGGGAATCCAACGGATCTCACTTTAGGAACTACCGCGTTTGCACCGAGAACAGCGATCTTCCACAAGGAACCTGGTTCCGGAAAGCGAAGCCCTTTACTCTGAGGAGTCCAACCTCCAAAAATGCGCCTGGGAGGGCTGCGCAGGTGCAGGTGCGTGGAAAGCGGGTGGCGGTCCCTGCGCACGGCGAGCTCCCGTGATGCCGCGGGGCCGGCCAATGGAGGCGCCTATTCCCCGCCCGTGGGTCTGACCCCCGGGAGCGCTTGAACGTCCTCTGCGGCCAGTTCTGAGTGGGGTGCACCTGTAGTTTGATGTTCTTAAATTACGCAGTACAGTATTAAAATAATTTGGTTCTGTTTAGCAATAGACTATGAAAGGTTAAAAAAAAAAAAGTCACCTATCACATGCCATGCCTTCTTGCTTTCATCTCTAACGGATCGGCTGTTGCTTGATTCCGGTCCTCTCCAGCTTGGTTTTAGACGATGCTGTATCGCGAGCAATTTAGGGCTGGGGACTCTGGAAGCCAGATTACCAGGGTTTTACTCCGCCACCATTCACTAACTGTGACCATGGACATGCTTCTTAGCCTTTTTGTCCCTCAGTTTCCTATCTCGAAATGGACCTAGTAGAGTTAGCTACCTCATAGGTTTGCGGGTGCGGGGGTGCGGGGCGGGGTGAAGGACAGTGCCTGGCACCTAGAAGGAACTCAGTGCATGTTAGCTGCTGCTGTTAGTGTGGCAGCTACTCGTATTCACCAATGGAGAAGTCATGCTGGGCTCGACCGAGAGCGATGAGGAATCAGGCTTAAACATCGTCACTTGCCTCTAGCCTCTTCCACATTTTAGGCATATTTTTGATTTGTTAACATTTAATTAGGGTATTGCCATTTTGTAACTGAAATGTACATTTCTGCAGATCCAGGTGAGCAAATTTAACGTTTTAAAAAATACCACAGCTAAATGTCAGTTTTAAAATAAACTGTAAATGTGGCGTAGGCATTCAAAGCATGCCTATACTAATTTGCCAGTGGATGTCATTTGGGGTATCATTTACTCAACAGATAAAAATCCTTTATTTTTCGGGGCGTCTAGGTGGCTCAGGTCATGATCCCAGAGTCCTGGGATCAAGCCCGCATGGGGCTCCAGCCTCGCATCGGGCTCCCTGCTCAGAGGGAGGCCTGCTTCTCCCTCTCCCACTCCCCCTGCTTGTGTTCCTTCTCTCGCTGTTTGTGTCCAATAAATAAATAAAATCTTTTTTTAAAAAAATCCTTCATTTTTCATTAAGTATTGAGTATGTACTATGCTAGGGATTGAAGAACATTCAGAGAAATGACACAGACCCTCCTTTCAAGGATCTTTTGAGAGTGCTGCAAGGGCTAACAAGTGCTCATCATGCTGGTGTGGGACCATATAGAAGGCATACCCAACCTTTTCTTTCATTCATTCCTTCATTTAAAAAGGGAAAAAAAAAGTATTTATTGAGCACCTATTTGCCAGACATTGTTCTTTGTGTTGGAACAAATACAGTTTCTTTGGAGCTTTCAGTCTAGTGAGAAGAAATAGACAGTAAACATATAAGAAACTATATACTGTACCAGGAAATGCTATTGAGAAAAATAAATCAAAAGGAGGGGGATAGAGCGGATGTTGCGTTTTTATACAGCCTGTCAAGAGAGAGTTCTCTAAGTAATATTGAAAGAAAGACCTGAGGAAAGTGAGTGAAGCACAGAAGAGTGTTGGGGGAGGAAACAATATTAGAGGTTGAAGGAAGAAGCAGAGTGCTTGGCAATGTAGGAAGGAGGCCAGAGCAGCCTGTTCAAGGAGGAGGCAGTGAGGTTAGAGTTGCAGTCAAGATTGAGCAGGGTTTCTCAGTGAGGCACTATTAACATTTTGGGCAGGATAATTCCTTGTTTGGGGGCTGTTCTATGCATTGTTCTATGCATGTTAACAGCATCCCTTGCCTCTACCCACTAGATGCCAGTAGCACCTCCTCCCCCAGGTTGTGGCTACCAAAAATATCTCCCAATTTACCAAATGTTCCCCCGGGGGGGGCAAAATCATCCCCAGTTGAGAACCACTGATACAGAACCACCTGTCCAAAAGTTCTTTGAGATAATGAAAATGTTCTGTATCTGTGTTGTTCAGTACAGTAACCATCAGCCACATGTAGCTGTTGAGCAGTTGTAATGTGGCTGGTACAATCAAGGAACCGAATTTTAAGTTTTATTTGAATTTTAGTTAAATTTTAATAGCCATATGTGGCTAGTGGCTACTGTATTGGATATTGCAGATCTAGAGCCTTGCAGGCCATTGTGAAGACTTTGGCTCTTTTACCTGTCTTCATTTTCTGTTATTTTCTCAGTCTCTTACTCCAGACTAGTCACAGTGGTCCCCTTGCTATTTGTTCCTTAAACTTGCCTCTTGCTTTTATTTACTTGAGAGAAGAGCAAGCAAGAGAGAGAGTACGAGTGGGGGTGGAAGGGGGGGGAGAGGGAGAGAAGCAGATTCCCCTCTGAGCAGGGAGCCCAAGAACAGGGGCTCCATCCCTGGACTCTAGGATCGTGACCTTAGGATCGTGACCTGTGCCAAAGGCTAATGCTTAACTGACTGAGCCACCCAGGCACCCCCCGAAATTTAGCATTTCTGAGTTCTTAGGTGATGCTAATTTTGCTGCTCCAGGGACCACACTGTAAGAATCACTGCTAATAGAAGAAAGTGAGACGTCAGCCACCTACTCGTACCAGACTTCATCCTTTGTCTCTGAAATCATTGATCCTCAGGCAGGTCTGACTCTATTTGGATATATTATAGCCACTCATGCTCTGTATTTGCAGGGAAAACTGCATGGTAGAATGAAAACTGCTTGGCATTATGGTTTTAGGAGGACACATCTGATTTTTCAATCCCACCTCTCCTTTGTGACTTCAGTCAAGCTATTTAATGTTTTTGAGCCTTGGTTTCTAAAACGCGGGGTTCCTATCTGTCTTTGAGTTTTAACAATTAGGGGTAACATATATAAATTAGCTAGTTTATAGTAATTTAGTAAAACAGGAGACATTTCTTCTCCAGTGTGTGGCACTCATAAATAAGGCATGAACCTCTCCCCCACTTTTAGTTTTAATTCCACGTAATACTGGATTGCCGCTCCATTTGACATCTTCATATACAGCAAAAACCCCTGACCCTTTTATTGGTTGATTCTTGAAGCTGGTATGAAATTTATATTAAGCTCTGAAAAGCAACCTCTTTTGTTTATCTTGGAAGCATACTTAGTAATATTGCTTTCCAGAATTCCTCAAGTCTCAGGAAAAAAAAAAGTCTAGATAACTCCAATACCTTTATCTAAATACCTCAGTACATTTAATAGTCTAAAATCATATGACCAAAAGCATAGACTGAGAATTCCAGATCTCAGCTCTAGAATGCTTGAATAACTTTCCCATTGTTTTTCAAAGCATGTTTGCTGTATGTGCAAATCACTGGACGTACCACCGTCCTTTCTTTTGCATTGCTATCATCGCATCGAACAAGGTCTTTTTCTACTTCAGCCCTCATTTTTTTCTAGTTGCAAGTGATAGCAAAGGGTATAGCGTGTTTTTCTTTGTTAGTTAACCAAAAAAGTAGGAGCCCTCATGCCCAAGGACTCACTTTTAGCTACAGATTAATTGGTTTACACGTTTTCCCACTGAAATGCTTTTTAGGAAGTCATTTTCATCAATATTTATACCTTATTTCAAAGTGACTTCCCAGTGTTTTGTTTTGTTGTTTTTGTTTTTTGAGTTCCAGCAGATGCTCTTCATCTTTTGAAGATTTACCAACACACTGTCTTTCACTTAGAGAGTTGTGATATTTTTCTACCTACAAAGTTTGCAGAGGGTACCCAAAATAACTTTAATAACCAGCATTCTGTCAACCTGTAATTCCTGCATGTAGACGTTAGTTAAAATAATGTCTAAAATGTTTTACGTAAATTTCTAGATTTTTCTATTTTAAAATGTTTTTAAAAATTAATCATCTGAATATGGTAATATTAACTGAAATAATTCATTCTCTTATGAGACATAATAGGAACTTTCTTATTTACTACATACCTTAAGCCTAATTCCTTTTGAAGCAGTGTGCTACATAAAACTGAACACTTCATTACCAACAAGGACAATGTTTTATTGAACAAGTCTATGTACAGTACAAAAAATTTCTTGAAATGAGACGCTATTGTTGAATTATTGCAGTTCAATGGCTCAGTTTTAATTTGTACTCTTATAAAATGCAAAGTAAAATAATTTAATGTTCAACAAGGAAGCACAAATTTCCTTTCTTGCTGAATCTGTAATATCTTTCACATATTAACAATTCCAAAATGCATATGCAGCATTTAGGCATTCTGAAAAGGTGTTTTACAGTACCAAATAAATTAAAAGATAAACACTATCATCCCTTTTAGGTTTTTCATCCATACAACAGTTTAAACCAAACATGAAAGGAGTACGGCTGAACCTTCAAGTGTGATTTGAAAAGAATCACAAGTTCAGTGTTATAAGTCATCTACTCATTATATAACCGGTTGTTTAAAAAAATGAATATGGCTAAAGCCCAAAGTACCAGTGTCCTTGTCCACGGAGATCCCTCTTTTCTGTAATATCTGAGCAGCAAAAATTCAGATTTGCTATTTTCTTGACCTTACTGAAATAGCAGAAAGTTTATAGTTATTGTTTTGAAGGAAATTTTTATTTAAAAAAAAAGAATTGAAACTTGGTCCATGTAAGATAAGCATATCCTCAAAACAGAAGGAATAGAAAGTAAAAAAGAAGAATCTGAAGAATAGGAAAGCTTCCTTTTCTTCTGAATCCCAAATTAGAACTGTTGGAAGTTTATGCACCCCACCAAAGCAAAATGATAGAAGCTTATGCTTTATAAGACATAAATAATGAAATGTACGCATACTTTCAGTAGCAATCATTTGAGAAGTATATAAAGAGGTTTAGAACAACATGGCCAAATAGATTTTTACAAAACATTCCTTGATTTAATTATGTATAAACCGATTTGATCTAAGTGTTTCAGAAAGTTTTCCCTTAGCAACACAAAAGTAGAAATAAAACCTCAAATTAAAGAC